CACATGCCCATGCTGAACGACAGGAGCGACGACTACGACGTTAACTACAAGGCGGAACCTGACCCCAGGGAAGTGGTCGCATTAACGATGAAGACGCGTGACAACTGGCGCAGGTTTGAGGGCAACTTCGTCGGGCACGTGGCGAAGGCGGGGTTAACGACCCCTGGCGGTCGGTCTATTCAGGGCAACGCAGGGCGGGAGCTTAACGATTACGATGACGTGTTCGTTGACATCTATGGCCAACATGCTTACGGTTTCATCGGCTATGCCGTGTTGAAGGGCCCGAGCAGCTGGAGATCTCAGTTGACGGAGAAAGAGTTGACCAAGCATGATGAATGGGTTGACGCAGTTGGGCACGTACAGTCCCTATTTGACGACGAGTACGTGCCACCACTCCACGTTGACGATCTTCACCCATCGTGGCTTGAGCTTCACAGTTGCCCGGACACGCAGGTGTACGTCAACGAGGTGCCGGAGATGAACGAGAAGCAGCTTAACGGTCTTCTCTTAACGTGGGCAGGAATGCTGCCCCACGGCAACCACGCCGTGATCTCCGTTAAGCACCTGGTGGAAGACACCCGTGGGCCGCACGGTTACATCTCGACTGGAGTTACCGTAATTCGGTTTGCGACGCCTGATCTCGCCAAGCTCTACTGCCGTTACATGAGCGGGCTCCAGGTGCATTACCGTAACTACTTCATCGAGGACCTCGAGGTCAGGAGCACCGAGGAGTTAAAGGGCAGCATCAACAGGCCTCCAGTCTACTGGCACCAGACCATCTTAGATGTCGCTCTTAACGATCAGGGATCCATGAGGGCACTTTACCGTGACAATTGGCCTGCTGATCGTATCACCGAGCGTAAAAGCGATCATCGTGAGAAGCTTTGCTGGTTTGGCTGGTTACCGTGCGACGACTTCCCCAACTGGCTTACCGATCCGACCTGGACTGTGAACCCGTTTACCGGCGCTGCGGTCGAGGAGCACCTCCGTAACAATCCAGGCGGTGGGCCTCTGTTGAAGGCTCCCCGCGCCAGTTACTGGAGGGCCATCGGCACCTACCACAACATCGTTGACGGTTCCATCAAGAGCTTCGATGAGGGGTGCTGGCTCGACGACGAGGAGCGCATTAACGCGTACCTGGACACCGACTATTACAGCCCGATGCAGGCCCTTAACAGGGTGTCGTCCTACGCAGCAGCCAGTGTGGGACATCGCGGGTTGCCGAGGTCGAGGGGCGCACGGGCCCCGTCGGCGAGGCGCCCGCGCCGCTCGTGAAAGACGGCAGGTGACCAGCATGCTGCAGTTTACGCTCTTCCTCATCTCCCCTCTTAACTTGGCTTAACAATCGAGTGGCGGTAGCTTGTTGAGCTGAGCTTGTTTGCATGCGCATCTTTTGTAGTTACCGCAGGTATTGGCGAATAAAAAGCGAAAGCAATCAAAATCATCCAAATGCTAGCCTGCCGTGTAAACTTTAGATGCTCCGTTTGAACTTGTGACTGTAAGAGCGTTCACTCGAGCTCATGTTACATGTGTGAGAAACGTGGTGCTCGTAAGCGCTGTCACGAGACCTTTCGAATTCAACGATATGATGATTTGCGTGCAGCGTGTTGCGCAGTTTAACCTGTTTTTATGTTTGAAGACACCTCCCCGTCAGCCCGTACGGACTAGCGTCCGAGGGGGGTGTTAACATGCAAGCGTTCAGGTGACTGGGGAGGAATAGTACCCCTGTTACCTTTGGCTCAAGTGTTTAACGGCTGAAGCCACCGAGACTCGCTTCGCCGTGCGGGAGTATAAAAGGTGACCGATCATCATCACTGTTACTGGGCTCCCGTGCAGAACCCTCCTCGGGGTTTTGCAGGAGGAGGAGGAGGAGGACGAGGACGAGGACGAGGACGAGGACGAGGAGTTCGAGGACGAGGACGAGGGGCTTTCTTGGGCCAGTCTCCTCGAGATCGTAGTTTTGACTTTAAGAGCCATGCCAGTCACCGCCGCGCCCGCTCGCGAGATCGTGCGGCGGGCTGACGCTCACAGGAACCCCGTCGCGTGGACGTGGCGGTATGGTGGTGCCCTCCTCCTTCTCCACCTCGTTCTCCTCGTCCTCCTCGTCGTCGTCGTCCTCCTCCTCCTCCTCCTGTCGGCGGCGCGATCAGGGTGGAAATGAGAAGGGGCATGCAGCGGGGTTTCTCAGAAACCCTCTGGCCTTCTGAGGAGATGTCTGCGTCTTCGGAGGAGGCTCCGATTTTTTTTCAGCAGGCCAGAGCCCTTCAGAGCCTTCTGAGAAGGCCCGCCCCTTCTCACCTCCCTGCTGCGCTCGCCGCCGATCCTCTCCTGGAGAGGCCGAGCGTGCCCTCATCACAGGCGTGCCCACGAGGGGGGGGCAGCACCCCAAACTCTGCCAGGAAGAGCTCGGCCACAGGCTGAATTCGGCCGGCTGCATTCGGCCAGGCTGAAGTCAGCCAGCTGGTCACGGCCAGGCTGAGCTCGGCCAGGCCGATTTCGGCACGGGCCGAGTTCAGCCTGGCCGAACGCAGCTGGCCTGGTTCAACCTGGCCGAGCTTCTCCTGGCCGAGTCTTATCCTTGTCCAGGGGGGCCTCGGGGCCCACCCCAGGACGCCCCAAAATGGGTTTCGGCGCATGCCGTGGCTGGAGCTGTGGCTGCTGCGACGCCTCACTGCGGGCACGGCGTCCAGGGGTTACGTTTGGGCCTTCCACTCCTTGTCTCGTCCTCTGATTTCATATGGGGCATTTCAGAAAGGGCCTCGCATTTGAGGATCGAAGAAGTCGATATCTCTTTCTCGGCGGAAGGCGGCCGAAGTATAACGAGGCTGCCGCCGCTGGCGGAAGCTGGCGGAAGGCCAGCGGAAACCTTGTCGTCTCAGGGATTCACTGGCCGCCCCCTTTCCGAGCTGGGTCGCAATTCCCAGCCCGACCGTGCGCATGATGATGATGATGATGATGATGATGATGATGATGATGATGATGATGATGATGATGATGATGATGATGATGATGCTGCTGCTGCTGCTGCTGCTGCTGCTGCTGCTGATGATGATGATGATGATGATGATGATGGTGGTGGTGGTGGTGGTGGTGGTGGTGGTGATGATGATGATGATGATGCGATCACTGAGGGCAATCATGTCTTCGCCTACGGCCGTGGGCACCTTCGTCCTCGCAGCCGTGGCCACGCACGTCTTTGCCGCTGTGGACAACCACACCTTCGGTTACGCAACCCACGGAGTGAAGTTTTTGGTCGAGCACATGTTTGGGCAATGCTGCTGCGACGATGGCCAATGGTTCCGTGTCTGTAAGCTGAGCGTTGACCAGCGGTCCGACTGGTCTGAAGTTTAACGTGTTGTTAGCAAATTGAGTTCGAGCTACTTGGTGGAGCAAGGACACATAGGGGAGGTGCAGCGCCGCCGTCGGGTACTATGCGCGGTGCGTCTTTCGAAGTAGTTCTCATGCTCAAGAGTTGCCGTCGCGCGTCGCCAGGGATCTCTTATCAGGTGACATGCGCGCTGACTTCTAGCTCTCGCTGTTGTGCATTCCCTCACTCACGACGAATCCATTCTTCCTGGTTGTCGGCTGAGCTAAGGTTGTTGAACAGGCTTTGCGTTGCAACAAGTTGCTGCGCATCGGAAGAGCGCTGGCTTATGGCATCTCTCGCTGCGTACCTCGATTGTCGGGAAAAGCGCAGACCGTTTGCAGGGACCTCCCGCGGACCTCTGCCCTGGGAGTGTGCGCCTCCAGCCTGCCCCGTCGGTGTCCTCCTGTTCCCTCGCGGCAAGTCTCTAGGCGGGCCTTCGGGGCGGTTCCGGGGATGCCCCGAGTTCCGCCGACCGGCCAACGTTGGGTAAATTACGTTCCGTCGTCGGCCGCGCGGCTGGGACAAAGTTCCTCCCTCAAACGCCTTCGTGGCCGAGCTCTGCCATCCAATGCGACGCCGAGGCTGCGACGGGGCGGCGCAGGCGGCAACATAGCCGCCAGACCGCCACCCAGGCCTAGCTCCTTAAAAGGGGAAGTAAGAAGTCCTAAGCGCAAGCACTTGTTTTGGTTTTGTATTTCCTGTATATATAAATGTATGCTTATCTCCTTCCCTCTCTCTTTCCATCCCTCTCTCTCTCTCTCTTTTTTTTGTTTCTCTCTCTCTCTCTTTCTATTTTTTGTTTTTTCTCTCTCTCTCTCTCTCTCTCTTTCTCTCCCTGTCTCTTCCTGTGTTGTCTCCACTTCCCCTGTCGCTGCTGACCGACGCGTGCGCGAGTGGTGCCCGTGCCGGGCGTCGCGGTCCCCCGTGTGCGCGCGGGCTGCGCGCGCCCCTCCGTTCCTCGCTTCCTCGGGGCCCTCGCGCCGCCGCCTCTTCGTCTCCCCTGCTGCTGTCGGGTGCCCCGCCCCGTGGTCTTCGGTGGGGCAGGCCGCTCCTTCGGGCACCGAGGGGTGGGCGGGGAGCCCCGCCCCTGGCCATTCTGTGCCTGCCCTGCGCTTTCGGGGCGCGGCCTCGGGCAGCAGCGTCGTATCCCTCACCCCCCTCTCTCGATTCTCGTGCTGCCAACCTGGGATCCCAACGGGGCCTCAAGCTCAGGCCACCACAGCCGGCTCTGACTCGGCTGCCGCAGCACGCCAGCCGTCCTTCCCACCTTCGTGCGCGCATGGCGAGAGGTCTCTGGCTGGGTGCCCCCCTCCTAGGCTTGCCGCCACCCCTGCCTCTGACGCTCATCCAAGCGATCATCCGTTCCTGTTCCCTCTTTTTCCCTCCGCCCGCCCTTCCTCCCCCTCAGTGTCGTATCATTTGACAGAGTGCGGGCGCTTGATGGCTATAGAAACGTTTCGGCATGCGTGCGCGTGTGGCCCGCATGCTCTCGTGCGGTACTATGAGTTCAGCGTGTGTGCGCAAAGGAATCTGGCACTGTTATTGAACATGGTTTGGCTTGGACTCTGCGTAGGACGGTTTCGTGCACCGAGGGGAAGGACCTTCCCCGCACTCCCCTTCTCCTGTCGCCCAGGAGGCCACGGGGGAGCTGATCGACTCCGACGGGCAGATCTGCGGCCACATCTCCGTGCGAGTTCTCGGTGTCGCCCCGCGCCCTACCTACCGCGCTATCCCGCGACCCTCTTTCTTCTTCCTGTCCTCCTGCCTCCTGCTTCGCATCCCTCCTCGCTATTGCCGTGGACTACGTGGGGCATTGGTGGCGAATGTCGTCGTGGACTCGGTGCGCTAGAGGCCCTGGTGCCGTCGATCTGCGGGTTCCTCGGGTGCCTTCGTCTCCGTGCCCGTGGACAAGGTGGTCTGCATGACCGTGGCCTTGCAAGCGTCGTGGTGGACGAGAACCCTCGTCCCTGCTGCCCCTCCTCACTCCTGCTCTGTTCCCTCATCAGCCCGTGTAGTCGGAGTCCTGGCGGCCGCGTGCCGTGCGAAACGATCGGTGCCATGGCGCTTCGTCCATGGCGCTGGCAGCAGCTTCGAGTGACGGTGTGGGTGCCGGTATCAGCGCGCCAGACTGGGTACCTGGGACACGAGCCATGTGAAGTGTTATGCCTTCGAGATGCCATGCGGCAGCCGAGCGGGAGTTAGCACTCGTCCCGCCGTGTTGCGCAGATCAACATCATGATCGCTAGGAGTGGGACACGGTATATTCTAGGGTCGGTTCATGGCCACAGTGCATACCTTCGCAAATCATCTGAAGGTGCCTGCCAGTAAAGCACAAACTAGGTTCCTGCTATCAAAAACAGGGGGTCACAGATACTCGTTCGCCGGCGCAATGATCATACTTCCCCATCTGCCAGCCGCAGAACATCATGGTGCTGCCATTGTGTGATTCACGAGTTCGCTCTCAGCCCGAAGTCTCCATCGTGCTTCGTTGCGAACATCCCAAACGGGCATCCATCCGCTGTCCAAAGCCTCAAAGAGGGCGACAGCAACGCGCGCGATTCGCGGCTCCACGTGCTGCCCATCAGGGCAACGAAGCGGTTGAGCACTCGGGCTCAAGGTGTGCAATTGGCGACGATTGCGAATAGGCGCGCAATTGTTTGGTACTCTTCGGCGGCGAAGTTCGAACCCTACCCTCCCCTATCAATGATTCAGGCCACTCGATGGGCGGCTGTTGTAGGGCTTGGAAGTCGTCGATCACTTGGCTAAGTCCGAGCCCTGCCCCCGCCTCCCATCGATTCAGGAGAATCGATGGTTTGTGGGAGTTGGCTTCTCGTCACCGAACTTCTCATCCGGCGCCTCTTCACCGCTTGTTGCGGATTCTCCACAGGATGGGCAACCCCGCGTCGGCGCTTGGGTTGCGAGTTGCCTGCTCCAGGACTGCCGTTCTGCGCTGGCGTCTCTTGGTGGATTGTGGGGCAGATCCCACTGCCTGCACACGAACTTTTCGAAGACATCCATCCAGCAAGGTCTTGTCCAACATGTGTCGCGCGTCTGCCGCAGTTGGCGTCGCGTGTCGTCCTCGTCTCACGCCCTTCACCCCGCACCACCCTCTCTCCGTCACCCCCTCCCGCGCATAATGCACCACGCACGGTGTACGCGCGAGTTCTGGGATGCAACCGGAGAGCCTGGCAACGAATTGCTTTAGCTCCCAGCAGAAGATAACATGTCGGGTTTGGTGAGCACGCTGTCCATAAAACATGATGCTACGCTGCTCCACGCAAGGGAGAGGGGACGGTTTGGGGGACTTGTGCGCTTCCTCCGGATGCCTCGAGAGCAGGGGGCCCTCCCAATGTCCTGAGGCCGTCCAGTGGCAGGTGCTCTGATGAGATCGTCTGGATCAGCAGGTAGCACGAAGAACCTGACTTCTGGCGCCGCTTGAAGATGCAGATGGTCTGAGAGCTCTCTGGCCGATCCGCGGCCGCTTCCACTTCCCTTCTTGCTCTTCCTTTGCTTTCGCACCCAACTCGCAGTAGACCCAAAAACGTTGTACGAAGGTCTGCCACCAGACGGTTACGGCATCCTATCCTAGTGACCTGGCGGAAGTGCACGAAGCAGAGGGAGCACTTGTGAGCAGATGCCTCGGGGATGCCACGCTACTATTCGCGCGCCGGTGCGCGACATGTGGCTGGACGAAGTGGCTAACGGCCACGAGGAAGAGGATGATGGCAAACCCTGGTCTTGCGTGGGGTAAATCTATCCAAACATGTCCGTGTCCACCGCCTGCCGAGGTCCTCGAAGATCGATCCCCCAGGCGGTGGTTATGGGCAAACCCCCGCCTCTAGTTGCCCGGGGTTCGGACTCATGCCTTAATTCTACGGCTTCCGTTCCTGGTCGTCGTTTATCCCGACTTCCTGGTGCTTCCGACGCCCTGCATACTTGCACGCTGGCAGTTCGACTCAGTCTCAGTCACCCCCGCCACCCGCCCGCCGCTGGGCCGCCGCGTGAGGCCTCGGCTTGCTGCGTTAGACGTGGCTTGCCCCCGCTGCCTTCGCTTAATTCGTCTCGGCGTAGCCCGCTTTGACCTGACTCGCCGCCGTTGCGTTCGCCCGCGACCGCTGACTAAAAAGTACCCCCACCAGCCGATCCAGAAACGATGCCCAGAGGAGCTGCCTCGATCAGGAAAGTGGGGAGCACACAGAGGAAGGGTCCCTCTTGGAACGCTCTTGGGGCACTCTTGGGCGCTCTTGGGGCCGTCATTGGGCTCTCTTGGGGCATCATGGGGGCCGCTTATGGGCTTCTTGGGGGCCTCTCGGTAGCCTCGTGGAGCTGTCTTGGGGGCTCAGAAGCCTTTGATGGAGCCATCTTGGCAGAGCTCGAACAAAGAAGGGGGGTCCTGAATTAGCCTCCCCCCATCGGACGCCCCCAACATCGCCTTTTGGGCCCCTCCTGGAGCGCTCTTGGGGCGCTCTTGGGCGCTCCTGGGGCCGTCTTACGGCTCTCTTGGGCACTGTTGGGGCCGTCTTTGGTTTTTTTGGAGCCATCTTGAGGCCTCGGCAGGCCATCGAAAACAAAGCCGGCGAGAAGGCACTATTCATTGATTTCCTTTGTTTTTTATAGCATCTTGGCCTCTTGGCGGCCTCCTGGGGAGGTTCCATGGCCTCTTGGAGCCGTCTTGGAGCGGTCTTGGGGTCTCTTGGAGCATCTTGGGAGCCATCTGGAGCCATCTTGGACTATCTTGGAGGTCGTCTTGGGCTCTCTGAGGCCCTCTTGGAGCCATCTTGGGCCATTTTGGACGCTCCAACGCTTTGAGAACCCCCCCTCTCCAGGTCCAGGAGAAGGGGTAGGGGGATGGGGTCAAGCTACGCACCCGCCCGCAAGCCGTCTAGTTCACTCCCACCCGCCCTCCCAACAGACATAAGTAACACCCGAGCCTCAGCCTGTTCAGCGGTCGTCTTTGGATGGGCAGCTACTGGGAACCAAAGCCGACCCCAGGTGCGCGACGCTAGGGCGAGGTGCGCCACACGTGCCAGGGAAGCCACGCGTGCCAGGCACCCCTGGGGCCCGAACGTGCCAGGCAGCCCTGTGCGCCAGATGCGCCACGTGCTTCCCCTTGCGCCAGGTGTGCCGCATCCTCCAGCCGCGCCAGGTGCGCCACGTTCGGGGCACGTGCAGAGTGTGTCAGGTACGCCTGCGCACGTGACAGCACACATCGGGAAACATGTCGGCCCCGCCATCCTTGTCGAAAACCAATGCCCATCATTGTGTCTGGTGGGCCTGCGCACAGCAGGCCACGCGCCACCACCCCCGCCGTCCTTGTCAAAAACCACTTGACAATGATCGCGGGGCTGTCGCGCATGATCCAGATTTAGCGCGAGGTGCATTCTGTATTGTGTTTTGGCAGGGATGGTAGCCCTGCGCACAACAGGCAATATGCTGACCCCCCCGCCGTCCCAATCAAAAAGCAATACAAAGTGCTCGTGGGCCTCACGAACATCACTCCAGACTTTGCCCCACAGTGTACCTTGTATGGTTTTTTTTGACAGGGATGGTAGGGGGGGGCTGCATCGGGTTGGTTGCGCAGGCTCCGAATTTGGAGGCAGTGTGCGGTTTGTATGGTTTTTTGAGAAAGGGTGGTGGGGTGGGTTGAGCATGGTTCCTGGTTGGCTGCCGGGGGAAGAAGGGGGTTGGAAAAGAACCCGCTCTAGACCACCTACTGAGTGCTCATTTCTAATTCGTGTGCTACACGTGGCCTCCGCCGCCCCTTCGGCGCGCTTCATTTCTAATTCGTGGCCGGAATTGCAAATGACCGGAATTAGAAATGAACGCGCTTGTTAGGCCCCGGAGGCCCCAGGGCAAACGCATTCGAGCGCGCGCCCGAGTCTGGATCTGGTGCGCGCCACCCTCGATCGGGCACGCGTAGACGTGACGCGCAAATCCTGCGTGTCGCGTACACGTGACACGCAAGATCTGCGTGTCACACGGAGCGCGCCTGGGCGGGACACGCAGAATCAGAGGGGCGGACACGCAAAATCTGCGTGTCGCACGCCGGGGGTCCGGGTGCCGGGGTGGGGACACGCAGAATCTGCGTGTCACGCGGGCCCAAAATCTGCGTGTCGCACGCCGGGGGCCCCGGGGCCGGGGTGGGGGCACGCAGAATCTGCGTGTCACGCGGGCCCCGCCAGGGGGGCGGACACGCAGAATCTGCGTGTCGCACGCCGGGGGTCCGGGGGCCGGGGTGGGGACACGCAGAATCTGCGTGTCACGCAGGCCCAGAATCTGCGTGTCGCACGCTGGGGGTCGGGGGGCCGGGGTGGGGACACGCAGAATCTGCGTGTCACGCGGGCCCCGCCAGGGGGGCGGGCACGCAGAATCTGCGTGTCGCACGCCAAGCGTCCTGGTGGCCGAGGTGGGGACACGCAGAATCTGCGTGTGACGCGGGCCCAAAATCTACGCGTCGCACACCGGGGGCCCGGGGGCCGGGGTGGGGACACGCAGAATCTGCGTGTCACGCGGGCCCCGCCAGTGGGGCGGACACGCAGAATCTGCGTGTCGCACGCCAAGGGTCCTGGGGGCCGGGGTGGGGACATGCAGAATCTGCGTGTCACGCGGGCCCAAAATCTGCGCGATGCACGCCGGGAGCCCGGGGGCCAGGGTGGGGACACGCAGAATCTGCGTGTCACGCGGGCCCCACCAAGGGGGGCGGACACGCAGAATCTGCGTGTCGCACGCCGGGGGTCCTGGGGGACACGCAGAATCTGCGTGTCACATGGGCCCAAAATCTGCCTTTCGCTTCCCCTTGGTCCGGGGGCCGGGGTGTGGACACGCAGAATCTGCATGTCACGCGGGCCCCCGGGGGCCGGGGTGGGGACGCGCAGAATCTGCGTGTCACGCGGGCCCCGCCAAGGGGGGCGGACACGCCGAATCTGCGTGTCGCACGCCAAGGGTCCTGGGGGCCGGGGTGGGGACACGCAGAATCTGCGTGTCACGCGGGCCCAGAGTCTGCGTGACGCACAGGGGGGCGGAAATGCAGAATCTGCGTGTCGCACGCCAAGGGTCCTGGGGGCCGGGGTGGGGACACGCAGAATCTGCGTGTCATGCGGGCCCAAAGTCTGCGTGACGCACAGCGGGGCGGACACGCAGAATCTGCGTGTCGCACGCCAAGGGTCTTGGGGGCCGTGGTGGGGACGCGCAGAATCTGCATGTCACGCGGGCCCAAAATCTGTGCGTCGCACGCCGGGGGTCCGGGGGGCCGGGGTGGGGACACGCAGAATCTGCGTGTCACGCGGGCCCCGCCAGGGGGGCGGACACCCAGAATCTGCGTGTCGCACGCCAAGGGGGCCGGGGTGGGGATTCGCAGAATCTGCATGTCACGCGGGCCCCGCCAGTGGGGCGGACACGCAGAATCTGCGTATCGCACGCCAAGGGTCCTGGGGGCCGGGGTGGGGTCACGCAAAATTTGCGTGTCACGCGGGCCCAAAATCTGCGCGTCGCACGCCGGGGGCCCCGGGGCCCGGGTGGGGGCACGCAGAATCTGCGTGTCACGCTGGCCCCGCCAGGGGGGCGGACACGCAGTTTTTGCGTGTCGCACGCCAAGGGTCCTGGGGGCCGGGGTGGGGACACGCAGAATCTGCGTGTCACGCGGGCCCAAAATCTGCGTGTCGCACGCCGGGGGCCCTGGGGCTGGGGTGGGGGCACGCAGAATCTGCGTGTCACGCGGGCCCCGCCAGGGGGGGCGGACACGCAGAACCTGCGTGTCGCACGCCAAGGGTCCTGGGGGCCGGGGTGGGGACACGCAGAATCTGCGTGTCACGCGGGCCCATAATCTGCGTGTCGCACGCCGGGGGTCCGGGGGGCCGGGGTGGGGACACGCAGAATCTGCTTGTCACGCGGGCCCCGCCAGGGGGGCGGACACCCAGAATCTGCGTGTCGCACGCCAGGGGTCCCGGGGGCCGGGATGGGGACGCGCAGAATCTGCGTGTCACGCGGGCCCAAAATCTGCGTGTCGCACGCCAAGGGTCCTGGGGGCCGGGGTGGGGACACGCAGAATCTGCATGTCACGCGGGCCCAAAATCTGTGCGTCGCACGCCGGGGGTCCGGGGGGCCGGGGTGGGGACACGCAGAATCTGCGGGTCACGTGGGCCACGCCAGGGGGGCGGACACGCAGGATTTGCGTGTCACGTCTACGCGACTGCGTGTCACGTCACACGGAACGCGCTCGGGGCGGCGTCGCGTAAGTAATTAAACGTGACACGAGGATTTGCGTGTCACCCGGAACGCGCTCTGGGCGGCCGGGCGACGCGACGCGCAGAATTTGCGTGTCGCGTAGACGTGACACGCAAATCCTGCGTGTCACACGGAACGGCGACGACGTTGCTGTTGCCGTTATTCTTGTGATCTTTTACGAGCGTAAGCAGAAGCTGCGCCCTGACGCCTTGGAGACACGTTGGGCGTAGCGCTTGAGCACATGCCTTCCCGTCGGCACCTCTCATTTGCAATTCGTGGCCGGAATTGGAAATGACCGGAATTACAAATGACCGGAATTACAAATGAGTGCTCTGTACGCCCAGAGGGTTGGAGGGACTCCATGTTTTCGCAGTTTTGTGTCTTCTGTGGAAGTCAGCGCAGGCACGTCTCCGAGGGGCGCCAACAATGCACCACCACCAGCCCTGGCCAGGGCTGGTGGTGGTGTGCTGTTTGGAGCTCTCCTGACGTCTCCTCACCGCGGCGAGCGGTCCGCTGGCTGCCTGGTGGGAGCGCCGTGTGGGTCGCGGTGCGCCTCGACGGCCGTGCCCGTGCTCGACCGCGCCGGTCCGCGAGCACGGGCGGCCCTCTCCGCGCGTGCAGGTTCGGCAGGGGCTCCGGCGGCGGGTCTGCGCGGCGCCGGGGCGAGGGCGCGAAGCCAAGCCGCACTCCCCCTCCTCCTCGGGTCTCCAGGTCGGGCGGCGAAGTCCATGCATGTCCACTGCTCCCTGGCCAGGCCCAGCCCGAGCCCAGGAGCTGTGTGTGCGCCCTCCTGGCCTGGCCGGGAGGGCTTGGCGTAAGCACCGCTGCTGGGTTCAGGATGGGCCTGGCCAGGGAGCAGTGGATCTGAATGGACTTCGTCGCCCTACTGGGCCTCCCACAAGATGGGGTCCGAGTGGATAGGGTCGGAGGATCGCGCCGCATCGCCGATGCATCGCCGATGCGGCTCGACGTGGAGCCCGACTTTCTCCACGCCGACGGCGCCGATGCATCGCCGATGTCGCCGATGCATCGCCAGTGCATCGCCGATGTATCGCAGGTGCGGCGCGATCCTCCGACCCCATCTACTCGGACCCCATCTATGAGGCCTCTAGTTTCGATTCCGAGCAGCTTGGAACGTCCGCGTGTGGGGGGACGTATGCATGGCGAAGCGACAAGGAAGAGGACGGGTCGTGCATCGAGCCTCCTCGAGAGTCCAACCCTACTCCTCGTCCTCCTCCTCCCCCGCTTCCTCCTCCTCCTCCTCCTCCTCCTCCTCCTCCTCCTCTTCCTCCAGCCCCACTCCTCCCAGATGGCTGGTGGGATGCACCTGTATCATCATCTGCGGTAGAGATGCTCGCTTTGGAATCATGGGCGACGTTACCAAGAATTGTGGAGTGAGGAGCACAATGTTCGCTCAGAGGGTGGTTCTCCCACCCAGGATTTGGACATAGCCTAACGAAGGGCCCCTCGATTGCTTGTTGCTTCTGCCTCCGCCTTTCTCCTCAGCCGTATGTATACCCTTGCTGGCACCTTTCCTTACCGTGCCAGTGCAGTGTCCTTCCTGCGTTTCGTATCGCTCTGTTCGTTCCGCCCTTGTCGAAGGAAAGAACGGACGTTATGGACTCCTCCTCCCTCCCCGTCTTTCTCCTTTCTCGGAGGGCGCGACAAGCTGGCCTCCAAGTTCAAAGAGCCGGGCGCGGACAGTTCGCTCCCCGACACGATCTCCTATCGGAAGGCCCTTGTTCCTGAGAGGGAGAGAGAGAGAGAGAGAGAGAGAGAGAGAGAGAGAGAGAGAGAAGGAGAGGGAGAAATATATATATATATATATATATATATATAGAGAGAGAGAGAGAGAGAGAGAGAGAGAGAGATGGGAGGAGGGAAAGGGGAGCGACAATGGGATGTTTTGCTGAGTTCTTTCTCCGAGCAGTGCTTGCACCGCGGGGTTCTCTTGGGTTTTTTTCGCCCAGTGGCCGCCCGCCGTCGTCTCGTGCGCCGGCGAGCCCCCTCTGTGCTGCGCCTGCGGGGAGCATCTCCTGGACGCCGCCGGAGCCCACGGCTCGAGGAGGACGAGGAGGAGGAGGACGACGAGGAGGACGAGGAGGAGGAGCGAGGAGGAGGACGAGGAGGAGGAGGAGGAGGACGAGCAGGAGGAGGAGGAGGAGGAGGAGGAGGAGGAGGAGGAGGAGAGGAGGAGGAGGAGGAGGAGGAGGAGGAGGAGGAGGAGGAGGAGGAGGAGGAGGAGGAGGAGGAGGAGGAGGAGGAGGAGGAGGGGGAGGCGACGCCTGGTCAAGGAGGAGCCGCACCGTTTCGCCGTGATGGGCGATCCTCGCAGCGAGCTGGCGCCGGAGAACCTCGTGCGCTCACGTCCACCGGACCGGCCTGCAGGCGTGCTCACGGCGGCCGTGGGGCCGCCCCGTCGGCCTTGGGCGTGGGAGTTGCGAGTTGCGCCGCCGCCTGCGCCGGGCGAAGATGCCGCCGAGAGGCGGCGTGGCAGCGCAACGCCCGGGAGCGGGAGGGCGTGCGCGGCGAGCCCGAGAAGCTCGGCATCGTCTGCACTCCAGGTGCAGGTCGCGTCCGTGCGCGCGGGGCGGTGTGGCCACGTGGTCGTCGAGGTCATTTCGCTCGTCCCGGCTTCGGGCCAGGACGGGAGCGGGCCTGCTGAGCTGACAGAGGCGCGGGCTCGGGCAGAGCTTCCTAGGCCTCCTAGACGGGGTCGGAGTAGATGGGGTCGGAGGATCGCGCCGCATCGCCGATGCATCGCCGATGCATCGGCGATGCATCGGCGATGCATCGGCGATGCGGCTCGATGTGGGGTCCAATTTTCTCCATGCCGACGTCGCCGATGCACCGCCGACGTCGCCAGCGCATCGCCGATGCATCGCCGATGCATCGCCGATGTATCGGCGATGCGGCGAGATCCTCCGACCCCATTCACTCGGACCCCATCTAGGAGGCCTCTAAGCTTGTACCGCGCGCGTCGCCCATGCGCGTCTCCCCGCACGGGCCCTCTAGGGGCCCTTCAGGGGCCCATTTGGGCCCCTGCCCCTGCTGGTTCCACAATGAACCCCACAGGGCCCCTGTAGGCCCCCCCCCCTCATCACCACCCGTCCGATGAGAGCCCGAGGAATCCGGCATCGTCTACGCCCGGCGGCGGCCCCGCTGCTGGCGGTCCTGGTTCCACAATGAACCCCACAGGGCCCCTGTAGGCCCCCCCCCCTCATCACCACCCGTCCGATGAGAGCCCGAGGAATCCGGCATCGTCTACGCCCGGTGGCGGCCCCGCTGCTGGCGGTCCACGTGGAACGGCGCCGCCGACACAGAATCCGTCGACGTGGAATGATCAGGCGCTTCGGAGACGGCCGCTCGTTCACGAGGTGGAACGATCCCCGCGGCGTCAGGCACCCAAACTGGCTTCGACACGACGCGAACCCGCCGTGCGCCCCCCACGGTGTGGACGAGCCACGGGCGCCCGCGCCCGCAGGCAGCGGCCGCCGCGCAGGCGCTTGCCCCGGGCCGCCACGCGGCGCCGAAGGGGGCGCCGCCCGCGCCCCCTGGAGCGAACGTCGCGGGGGCGGGGCGGCGCGGCGCCGTGCGCCGACGCCGCCGTGCCCTCGTCGGCATGCCGTCCGTCGGCGCGCCTCGTTGGCTTTGAGGAGGGCCTCGCCCTGCCTTTTTTGGAGCGGCCTTCGCTCGCTCTCTCCCCGTTGCCGTGCTCACTCCCAGCTTCACTGGCCACCATCGCCTGGCACGACGCGGGTGCCACCGAGCCGGGAGCGGCGTTTGGCGCGAGCTCGCCGCAGGCGACGCCACGGTGGCGGCCCTGCCGATCTTGGAAGGCGCTGGCCCGGCGGAGCGCGCGCAGCAGCTCCGTCCGTAGACGCCTGTTTCAAGGATGTTTTTTTTTTTGTCGTGTGGCCTGGCCCGCCCTACCAAGACGCCTCGGGGTGCGACGGGGAGGAGTTGTCTGTAAGGAAAGGATTGAAGGAATAGTGGGATGACGATGATGATGACGATGATGATGATGACGATGATGATGATGATGGTGGTGGTGGTGGTGATGATGATGATGCTGATGATGATGATGATGCTGATGCTGCTGCTGCTGATGCTGATGAGGATGATGATGATTATGCTGCTGATGCTGATGCTGCTGATCATGATGCTGATGATGCTTATGCTGCTGATGCTGATGATGCTGATGGTGATGCTGATGCTGATGCTGATGCTGCTGATGATGCTGCTGCTGATGATGATGATGATGATGATGATGATGATGAGGAGGAGGAGGAGGAGGAAGCGAAGGAGGACGAGGAGGGAACATACATTGAGGACGTGCAGGACGGGTGGATTGGTGGAGGAGCCTTTCCCTTCCCTTCTTTCCATTGCCCTCCCATCCCTTCCTCTCCTCCTTCCACTGGTCCCTTTTCTATCCTTCCTTCCCTTCCCTCTCCTCTCCTCGCCCTCCTTCCCTCCTTTCTCGGCCGCCTGGGGAGTCTCCTGGGGCTTCGTTGGGGCCCTCTCGGGATTGTATTGGGCAGTCGTGGGATGTCCTCGGCCCCTCTTAGCCCGTCTTAGCCCTTTTGGGGCTGTTATGGGCCGTCTGGGTGGTGTTTTTTGGGCATCGTTTAGCTCCTTTGGCATTTCTTTCGCTTCTCCGAGGCCCTCCAAGGAGCCCGGCAGGCAGGACACCTGTACTCTTGAATTAACAACGGGCTGAATCTATTAAATGTTTGAAATGTTTTGGTGCCTAGAAAGACTCTTGGCCTTGTGCCATGTGTGTTTTAGGAGTCTCTCAGTGTCTCCTTTGAGCCTCTGGGGGTCTTCTTGAGGGCCGTCTGGTGCTTCTCTAGGCAGTGCAGGGCCATCTTGGCTGCCTGACTGTGCCGTCCTGGAAGCCCTTGAAGGGCTTTTTGGGCGAGCCCATGGCAGCGCCAGACCGCCGCCCAGGGTGCCTCGGGAGGGGGTGGTGGGCTTGAGGGGTGGGGTGGGGGGGGGGGGTGCGCAGAAGATTCAGAGAGACCCTACCAGACAGCACGCGCCAACGTGCCAGGGGGCACGGTGGCGGACCCAACGCGCGAACACGATTCTTCTCTCTCTCTCTCTCTCGCTCTCGCTCCCCTGAGGATGTCCAACGAGTCTCCAGCCTTTCCCGCCATGTGTGTTCGTGCATGTTTTCGTCTGCCTTCATTTTTTGGTATCTGCTTCCCGATCGGCATGTGCTCAGCCCTTCGGCAATTCGTGCTCCCGCTGCAGCGTTGGCCACACCTCAGGTCCGCTCTGCTGTGCAAAGTGAACGGCGCTCTCGACCCAGCGCGCGCCACACTCCTGGATCTGGCTCCCTCCTCGTTGTTGCCGTCTCCCACGGTTCCCCTCCTCCGTCCTCCACTGCTCCCCTTGCTCATCATGCTCCTGTTGCTCCTGCTCCTTCTCCCCCTCCCCCCACTATCCTCCTCCTCCTGCTCGTCCGCCTCATCTTCCTACAGTGCACAAGAGGCCCGCGCCTTTCTCGATTGCGCGGCAAACGGTGGGTCAAAGCCTGCAACTGCCGTTGTGGACATCCTAGAACATCCCAGTCGGCAGACGGAAGAGAATTCACCACGGGTATGTATTGCGCGAGTGCGCCCATCCTGCCTCTTCTTATTTCCTCATCTCGTTCCCTCTCCTCTCCCTCTTTCCCGGTCCCCACCTTTCACGCCCCTTCCTTCCACGTCCCAGTCCCTCGTCCCATTCCCTCTCCCTCCATTGCCATGCCGTTTTTGCCTGCAGAGCCGCATTCAGTTTTGCTGCAAACGTGACTCTTTCTTTTCAGGCACCCGAATACCCGAATGCTTGTGCCAAAGGGCCGTGCAGGCCCAAGAGCTCGACGGGCGGGATCAGTGGCCAGCTGGGAAGGACTCGGCTGGCCAGATTCCCGTCCTACAGGGAGGATGTGGATGATCTGACCGTGGGGACCCACGAGGGCCTCAACCTCGCCGAGCGTCGGATTCTTGCTTAGACGCTGGAGGATGCTGGTCGGGCCCCAGGGGAAGGGGGTCCCGGCCCCGAAGCTCTCGGCTTTGTGGGTGGCCTCGCCCCTCGCGAGCAGGTTTTGGACCGCTCGGCCTCGAAGAGGGCCGCCTCCCCTGAG